TGAGACCCCATGTCTGTAGAAAAGCAATGCAAGTATTAAATAGGCTTGAATTACTCACTTATTTTTCTTGCAAGCATCATCGTCCGGTGGAAGAAAGCCAGTAAACTGAGTCACCAGCTCCCTCCAGTGATCGTTGTTAACTATCCCTGTCACTGGAAGTCCCCCCAACCGAAGGCCTAAAATAGCCTTCACGTCCTGCGACGTCAAGGTCATCTCGCCACAAGGTAGGTGGAACGTGTGGGTCTCAAGCCTCCACCTGTTATAAGAATAGAATAGAATGACTGTTAGTTCCCTCAAATTTGTTACAAAAAAGTTTACGTACAAAGAATGCACTTGCACCTGTCTACAAGCTGCAGTAAGTAGTGTTGGGTCAAGGGGCGGAAGACCGTGGTTGACAACACGGACAAGCTCGAGGAAGTCGGCACGTCGTATGTAGGGCGCATAATGCTCGTCTCACTGGTGCGCCCTGGTGTGCATGCGGGGTCTCAAAGGAGGCAAGGCCACCTCTGCGTCATTGTCACTCAAGATGTGTGCTCGGTGCTGGTCGTCGTACTCCACCTCAAGATTAGGGTACAACGGGTGCTGCGTGGGAGGGACCATCTTGTTACGAATTGATAAACAAAGTGTTAGAGTATTCAAATTAACAAAATTCAAATTAACAATAGTAAGTTCACAAACAAAGTCACTAACTGAACTATCCTAAATCCCTAAACCCAAGATCCTAACTATACTAGATAATAAATACATAATCAATTCATAAAATCCCTAAACCCTAAACTAGTATGTATACCCAAAATCCCTAACTAAATAACTAACTACAAACTAAATAATAAATATATAATCAATCCCTAAACCCAAAATCCCTAACTAAATAACTAACTACAAACTAAATAATAAATATATAATCAATCCCTAAACCCAAAATCCCTAACTAAATAACTAACTATAAACTAAATAATAAATATATAATCAATCCATAAACCCAAAATCCTAACTATACTAGAACACGCAACCTCAAACCTACGTAAATCAAAAACAAATTCACTAATGTAACTATCCTAAATCACTAACTATCATAAATCAATACCGATCATAAAACCCTAACTATCCTAAATTACTAACTATTCTAAATCACTAACTATCATAAATCAATAATAATAAAAAAATGAAATCGAGAGGGAGGTACCTACTGGTGGAGGCCTTTGACGCCTTGGCGTTAAATGTTGTGGCATGCTGTCGGGTGATGCGCCCTTACTGCAATGAGGAGTGGTGGCAGTGGCGTGGTCGGACGGGAGGCAGTCCGAGCCGGGCGGTAGTGAAGTGGCCTGTGGCGTGGTGGCGAAGCGGTCTTGTGGCGCATGGCGGTATGGCGGGTGGCGTGGCGCAGGGCAGGTGGCGGTGGCGCGTCTGGCGCACACGCAGTATTTATTCGCCCTGCCCGCGCCACGGATCGGTAGCGGCGATGCCAGCGCGCAAAAAGGGCGGTGGTGCGGCAGGACCTGCGACGTCACGTTCACCGAAACCGGTCGTCGTCACGTCAGACCTCTGCCGCGCCACCATGCATGGCGCGGCACAGGCATTTTGCCGCGCCAGGGCAATAGGCGCGGCCAAAAGTGTTAGTTAAAAAAAATATGTAGTGTTAGATTTAAAATTAGATTAAAAAGTGTTAAAATTTAAAAAAAAATCTCGGCAGTCAGCTGGCGAAGCCGTACGCAGCCGTACAAGGACCATCATTAAAAAAAGAACTTTTTTCAACCTATTTGGCTAGGATTATTCCCTCATAAATGATCATAAATTTTCAACCGGAACAATATTTTTCTCTCACACCAAACCAGCCAGCAGTACTTCTTCACGATCCAGCAACGAACAAGTCCCGCCAAACGAACAGGCTGTTTGTATATATGCTCTTCTCTTTGGCCAGACAATTGTTGTTTAGGACAGTGATAGGCATCATGAAGCAAGCAGACAGCGCTGTTTTCAAACCTTCAATTTGAAACACCGATGATCCCAAAAGCTAATTAGTTTTGGAGACAATTCTAGTCATGTATTTCTTTCAAAAGTTCATTCGAAATTTTAGAAAAAAAATACATAAAAGCATAATACTCCGTATAACTCTAACCAAATAACCAATCAACACAGGATCGGAATATTTTTTTTTTTTAAAAAATGAAACATACTAGGAAATATATATTGCAACAGTTGACGCATTGACAGCATGAATCAGGAGCTCTATCGGCATCTCGCCAACTAGCGCTGATGGTTGTGTAAACGTTTTGTTCTGTAGTGTTGAGAGTCATACAGAAAATTTGTACAGTCACTAAACACTTCTGATTCATAAGTTTTGTTTACCTTCTATTGGAACTGGAATAAGCTCAAATTACTTAGTATGCGAGCTGTCTGTATATATTTTTTGTCTTTGAGGCCTTATATAAGTATTCCCCACTCACTGCAATCAGTGTTCTATATCTTTATTATTTACTACTGTTCATTTAATGCAGATTCTTGCACGACAAGGTAAAGCCGCAGGTGGTGCACCGTGATATCCGTGCAAGTAATGTCTTACTCGATGAGGAATTTGGCTCACATCTGATGGGGGTCGACCTTTCAAAGTTTGTGCCATGGGAAGTAATGCATGAGAGAACTGTCGAGGCCGCATCCTATCAGCCTGTTCGCTTGATCGTAAACGATCGTAAATTTTCAGTCGGAACAATGTTTTTCTCTCATACCAAACCAGCCAGCAATAAATAATCACGATCGTTTACGGCCTCCCGAACCAGCCGTATGGCTACCTTGCTCCTGAGTTTATATACAGGAACGAGTTGACAACAAAGAGCGACGTCTACAGCTTTGGTGTGCTTCTCCTAGAAATTATCAGCGGTCGTCGCCCTGCACAGTCAGACCATATTTGAATGGGCAACTCCTCTAGTCTAGTCTCACCGCTATCTTGATCTGCTAGATCCACACATCCAGGAATTGCCGGATACAGGAGTTATCCAGAAGGTTGTCGATCTTGTCTACTCCTGCACCCAACATGTTCCTTCGGTGCGCCCAAGGATGTCGCATGTCGTGCATCAACTACAGCAGCTTGAACTGAAGTCTGCAGCCTCTGAGCAGCAGCTAAGGAGCGGGACAAGCACCAGCGCAACATCTCCAATGTTGCCATTGGAGGTCCGGACTCCGCGCTGAAATCCACTGCCAGAAATTGAGAATCTTTTATGTACTCCAGCTTTAGTCAGCACTCCGTAGGTGGTAGCACATTCTTTAAGAGTGTAATATGACTGATGACAGCCCTGCTCTCTTTCTCTGCCTGCTGATTACTCAATGAGTGCTGGTTTAGTTCTAAAAAGTTTCCCAAAAAAGTACTACAGTAGTTATCACATCGAATCTTGCGATGCGTGCATAGCATTAAATGTAGACGAAAAAAAACTAATTGCACAGTTTGGTTGAAAATTACGAGACGAACGCTTTGAGTCTAATTAGTCTATGATTGAACACTAATTACCAAATAAAACCGAAAGTGCTGCAGTAACCAGATTTTCAAAATCGCCAACTAAACACGCACGAGTCGATCAATGGCACGTTTGGCAGCACGTCAGCCTGCCGGCCGCCGGCAACCACTGTACGGTGCACTCCATGCATGTGCGACCCGGCCGGAAAAACCGTACGTCAAGTCAAATTGATGCCCAGAGGCAACAAGCTAACAGTGGCCTACAGTACTACTGGAGACAAGGATTTCCCAGTCGGTTGTTTCTAAATTCCTCGGTTGGTTTCGTGGCCCGACGGAAAAAATCACAATTTTCCTGTTGGTTTATCTTAAACCGATAAGACGATTCGAGTTTCCAGTAGTGCCTATGTGTGGGTGTGGTTGGGGTGTTGTACGTAATTAACGAACTACTAACTAGAACCTTACCACCTCGACTTGATGATAAGCTAAGAGAGTTGAAGGGCGCCGTGATTTGATCTGATGATAAGTGGAGCTAGAGCACAGGCAAGAGTTGACATTTAACGTGGGGATTTGAAGTTGTGATTGATGGTTGTGCATGGTCCCCACACGATCAATAAGGTCCTTTCCTTTCTGACTTTTGCCGCCTCCTTCATCATCTTGCATGCATGCAAAGACGACGTTTCAGGTGGGGCTAAACCGCTAAAATGCAGACAAAATGAGGCCGTCGCTTCCGTTGCATATGCATGTTTGGACTTTGCATGCGCGCTCTCTTATCATAAGATGGGCAGATGCATATTATTTGTTTTATTTATTGATGCAGCCTTAGTTTCTTGAAAGATAGAAACCATGTGTATTCAAAGGATAAACTTCATGTGTGTAAACTATATATATGATTTGTTCTGTACAAGCTAGCTTTTGTTTCTTCCAGTATGTTTTTCACATTTGCCAGGAGTACGTACTTCCTGATTTAATTCCTCGATGGAAGGGAAGAAGATAAGTTATCTTGGGTGCTCACCCTATCATGATTCATGCACGATAGGCTATCGTCAAGATAGAAAAGCACATGGGATGACTTGTACGTATAGAATACCCTCAGCTTTTCTTGATTCGATGCTTCAGTTTCAAAATATTCAAAAGTCCGAATATTCGTTGGCACCAAATAATAAGCTATTGTTGCTTGTATTTGTAAATGTTGAGCCTCTTTGACTTAGCAGACCAATAAATGCGTCTGATAAAGTCGCCTTCCGGCAGTCAGCTGGCGAAGCCGTACGGCAACCGTACAAGGGCCATCATTAAAAAAAAAGAACTTCTTTGTATATACACCTTGTTCTATCACTCTTTGCATTTCAGATCTGAAAAAGGCATACAGTTGTGTGATGGTGGACTGGATGTCGAGTTTTAAAACTTACTGCTTGTAGCCTTCAATCCAATGTAAGTTGCCCTGGCACTCAGATCTTCATCAGTGCTTTGGTCAAGACTGACATATGTAAAATGGCACCAGGGTTAATTACTATGTAAAATCCCGTGCTCATCAGAAATGAAATGGCGAAGAGTATTATACCTTTTGGTACATCTGAAGGAAAAATTATAATTGAGAACGATCAGAGTTTTATATGACATTCAGAGAATACAGTGGACATTTTACCTTGCACTGTCCAAATCGGAGTGTTTTATATGACATGTTGCTTCCGCGGCCAAATGAAAGAAGCTCTGACACAAGACGAGGTGTATACTTGCTAATCCTTGGTAGTATGTCGTGGCGTGGAGTCATAAATCCAAAATTTAAATTATCTAGATAAAAGACCTAATCAAAACAGGAAAATCATAAGCAAGGAAATAAACATAAGAGCAGTTGTTTTTCAGCTTATTTTATCAATTGTTAGCTGAAAAGGAAAAGAGAACTAACCAGCAGGAATAACAAAAAAACACACAAGAATTACAGACTTGTTGGCGAGTGTCAAGTTGAGCTGAACCTTGGCAGCTGATTCTCGTAGGACTCTAAGAACATAAACTGACCAGTTTGTTTCAGAAATCTTTAATGGGCCCGGAACATGTTTTAATATATCCTTATTGATTCTATGTTTGTCTCCTCTGGGTCCTAGGAAGCAAGAGAACGAATAAGATTGTAGCAACCTGTCTTTCCTTTATATTCATCTTTCTACCAGAGTCTTTCAATAAGATTTCAGGTACTGCTTCCATGTTAAGATCACAATCACTATCAGGAAGAAGTGCTCCCTTCATGCTGTCAACTATTCTAGTACATCTGGTCCTCAGATATACATCCTCTCCCCTGTATGGTATGCCAAGAACCAGGTTCACATCTCTGTCTGTAACTGTAAGTTCACTTTTATGAACTATAGTGCCAGTATTTGGATCCATGCAACTAAGTAGGGAGAGGATCAGATTCCTGCACTGCAAACACTGATTGTGTACTTTGAGCAATCCACGGAAACCAATACTATCCAACAAAGCTCTTTTCTTAGAACCAAACTTCATGAAGACATTATACAATGTCATCAGAGAGAATGGTCTATTGATCTTAATCTTTGTTTCAGGAATAGCAGACTTTTATCTGGAAGATGAGGGCACTCTAACTGATGGGGAATTTGACATTCCTTTGCAATTGCTTGAACAAGTTCAGTGTGGGTGGTGGTGATCAAGGCTAACTGCAACGTCAACAACTAGTTAGAACAAAAAAAGCAAGAGAAGTTTGAATCCAATGCCAATATACCAGAAAAAAAAACAAAGAAAATACAGGGATGCGCTGCGTAGTTTGTGCAAGGTTAGAGTTAGATGATTGTACAAAAGGTGTTTTGAAGATAAGACTCACCAGGGAGTGTTGCCCAGACAAGCTGAAACTGTCCTTGTTGCTATGCTTTCCGCCGGATGGCCACAATGTGTCGGTGATGTTGCTGTCATACTCGCCGAAGGTGTCTGCCATAAGGATTAGCTGAGAGAGAGAGGAATGGAGTGGATATGCTGCTTGGACTACACTTCAAGGGAAGTGTGGAAGACTGTTGATAGACTTCCTTTGGCCCTGTGGGAAGAACTCTGGCTGAAGCTCGAATGGATCCGCAAAGGGGATAACTCTTCCGTTTCGATGTAGGACGGGAGCGCAGAGAAGAACTGGAAGATAAGTACAATCAAGGATATGTACTCCTAGACTAAAAAACAGCCTAGGGGACATATGTTGAAGTTTTTTTTTTACTCGACATATTTTTAAGTTATGCGTACAGAGTAGTACAATTCATAGAGTTTTGTTGTTCTCCACTTTGTGAACTTGTATGAGTTATGCAAGTTCTGAAATGACATGCGATGGAAATAATTCAATTCAATAAATTCCCATTTGACTACCATGTGGACATGTACAGAGTCTTTATGTAGCTGAAATGGAAGGAGCTAATGCCACTCACACTAACGTCAGCTAGGAATTTGGAAGTACACTGCAGATGAACTTGACATAACAGGGCCTCTTGGCCACTAAAAGTAGCCGTTGGACAGAAGTATGGTGAAGTACATGAACACTTATCCATGGAATATTGCTAGGGGAAGAACCACATAGCATTCAAATTCAGACAGTGCACCAACAACGTCCACATTCGGTCAATGATAACATTTTCAATAATACTCCGATATTCTTCTTAAGACTAGTTAGTTAAGTTATAAAAGAAAGAAAGATAAAGTCTCAAAAGCTACTACTAAGATACTGAAGGTTCAGTAGTTTCACATTGCAATTTAAACAAATCCACCGACGTAGTAGTGATGCTACTCATCAGTACAAGATGCAGTGTGCACCAAAATAATAGTCTGCATTGACTGCTTATATTCTAGTCATTGATGGTGATGGTGAAGTTAACAGGTGGCTCCGCGTGATTCTCAGAGAGGCACATCAGTTCATACTACAACAGCTTCTTGAGCTCAAATGATTCCAGAGGAAAGAGAAGACGACATAAGGACAATTATTAGATTAATTTCAAGTCTAAAGATTATAGAAAATCTCACAGATGAAGTTGAAGTTAGATACCTACCCTATTAGAATTGCGGATCTTGCAGCCATCAAATTCCCGAATGTACAACAGAGTTAAAAGACCTGTCTCATCCCTATGAAAATGAAAAGATTTCAGGAATCACATTCTTCCAAATTCTTCACAGGCAAGAGGAAATTTCAGGTATTATAACTGAAAAGTGAAATAGGAGCTTACGAGGTTGGATCCATAACAGTCGGCTGTACAAAATTTATATTCCAGTCCTGCATCTTATGATGCCAATTTTCAAAGAACATTTCAATACGGTTACAAACCGATACTGCCTTAGAGACATTTGGATGATGCAATTGTTCAAAAATCAATGATTGATCTTTGTTGTATATAGGGTCAATAACATGGACACATTTGTGTTTGAAATCAAAGAAGTAGCACAACTAGTTCAGCAATATAAAGACAGGCACGACTATCTGCAAAATGGATGGATGAATCAGTCTAGGGGAAAACTATGGAACAAAATTCTGGTTGCTCATCATAAGATGATTAAAGGATTTACCATGCGGCGATCTTCAAGCCGATATGCTATAGAAGAACCAATGAACTGCTCTATGATAGATTTACAGACAACTACATTAAAGGCAAACCATGGGCTCACCTCAGAATGAATAGAACATATCTGAATGGTTATTATACAATTCCTACAATGAACTACTGCTGCCATAAAAAAGAATTGCAGTACTACTGCTTGTTGCCTACAACCACATAAAATAAGGATTTAGCAAAAACAAAATTCTAGGGAATGCATGGACATTTCATTATTAAATCACCACACATGAATATGAGATTTAGAGAGCCGTACAACGAAGATGGCAGTTATCTAGCACATACAGCTATACAGTTATCCTACCATTCATTTTAGTGAGCTAACAATATATGATTCCAAAAATAGTAGCATTAGTTGTGTACTGGATAGTAATGCCAAAAAAATATGGCATTAGTTTGCAAGAAAACATTGACCTTTGAAGTTTGAAACACGCACACCACAAGCAGCAGAGTTGACAACAGATCCACTGGAACTTACATCCTTTTCACTCAGGATTCAGGAATAACAAATGCTGCATCCTCTCAACTAACCAAGAATCCTTGCTCCTGGTTGCATCATACACTTCACCGATGGCCCTGTTCGGCTGGCTGAAAAAAACGGCTGATGCCGATTTGTTGTGAGAGGAAAATACTGTTATTTCGCTGAAACGGTACGGCTGATAAATTCAAGCGTCCAGTGGCAGACTTGCAAACAGAAAACATTTTGGAGTTCAGACTTGCAAACAGAAAACATTTTGGAGTTCTCGTAAACACAACTTGGAAAAATATAAAATTTTAGAGCTAAGCTAAACAACCAAGTCTGACCAGAGGCCACAGATCTACTCAACCAAGGCTAAACACTCAGGAGTCTCAGATCTATAGCAGATAATATGAAGATATTCTCCTCTCACAGTAAGGGAGGAGATATCGAGAGTTCCAAAAAAAATTTGTTCCGTTTCAGATCTAGTACAACATCACCAAGCGCACCGCCACCGCCACCCGCCCCGGCCACCGCCCCGCCGCGGCGTGGTAGGGTGTGGACGGAGCTCCGGCGACCGCTACCGCGGCCCGGAGTTCCTTCCACACCCTACCACGCCCGCGGCGACTGTCATCGACCCCACACCGCCACCCCCACAACCCCAACCACCAGCCCAACAGCTCCGCCCGAAATCGACACTTGAGCTCGGAGGAGACATCAAGAGAAGCGAAGAAAATACAAAGCATTCAAGATTACCTCGGAGAACAGATCATGGGAAGCTGCTCCACCTCCAGATCCTTGGTTCGCCGGCTCCATCAACCCTAAATCAATCGCTTGGAGGAGAGGGGAAAGTGAACCACACTACCGGGTGGGGAAAGTGGAGGATGAAGGATGAAGACGAGCCCTATCTGGGCTGGGGATGAAGAACGGCTCTTTTCTCATTCCGAAACAACAACTACAAACCAGCAGACTCCTAAAAAAATTTCTGTTGTGGGTCCCGCCGGCTAGATGGACGGTGTAGATAGCCCCGCCGGACGCATACACAAGCGGCGAGACATTTCCCGGCTCAGCAATGCCATCTGAGATGAAACAAAGAGAAGTAATTCCTTGCACAGCTATTTACATAGTGCCATTTGCTAAAAAGTGACAGCAGTGGTCCGTTCGCTGGTCTGAAACTTTGCTAAAACTGACTGAAAAATACTGTTTAATAAAAAAAAGAAAACAAGCCGAATATGGAATAAGCTGAACAGGGCCAGGAACTCATTTACTCGGGTAGGTTGCTAGGCAGTCCCACGAACGTTCAAAACGGGGCTGGGCTGCAGGTCAAGGAGCATGCACGCAATGTTGGCACGTGACGTGAGCTCATCAAGCCCGACAGCTATAGGTTCCTATCTTTGCCCAAGGGAAGGGCTTCAGTGGTTTACGAGGAGGGGCTGCAAGGACAAGGAATTGGAAAGAGGTGTGGCATCGATGGCAAATTTCACCACGGTAACAGAGCAGAGCAGAAACGGGAGAGCGGTTATGTGGTAGTGGGTTGCCGGATCGAGTGCGGAGGCCGAGGATCGATCATGAGCTAGTGGCCGGCGACCGAGACGTGGATGGACTTTGCCGATTCCGGCTAGAGGTTGAAGATGGGGTACACTGCTAAGAAGGGGCAGGCCCACTTGTCGTTTCAAAAATTATAGGCCCCAGTTGATCAGCCCATTGGAGTCGAAGAGGACGACGGAGGTGTTAGATTGATCTCCACCAATTTGACTCAACGGCCAATTGACTCCTTGACTCGTGCCCGATCGGAGGCGCCCAGCCGCTCTCCTGGCTGGTGGGCCTCGTCGCGTAGCCCTATGTAAAGGAGGTGGGAGCTGAGGCTCGAGACACGAGGTTCACTACAGTCGCCAGTTCCCCATCGAGTCTAACCCTAGTCCGATCTAGAGGGAGCGCTGTGAGCGACGGGAAGCTCCACCGGCCTTCACCGCCGTCACTGGACCGTGCGCACCACTACGATGCTACCTCTACTCCGACACTAGAGGCACGTCACGCCGTGCCATGGCGAGGTACATCACTAAGTCTCATATCTAAGTTAAGCAATTTACCCACTGATCTACACCTAGAGGTCCAGTAAGTCCTATCAATGGTATCGGAGCAAAGTTGCTAGTGGGTAGATCCAGTTTGAGGTAAAAAATAAAAAACAATTCAAGAAGGAGCTGATTCGAATCGGATTGAAACCCAAATTGAAACCCTAACCCTAACCCTAACCCTAGAAAGTAAAGACGGAGAAGGGGAGGACCTATCCGGTTCTTCCCGTCGTCGTCACCACCGCCGTCGCGCGGGAAGAAACCCACCATCGCGCGGACAGAACAGGCCGAGCCATCGCTCAACGCTGGGTCACCGGCGCGCGGGCTCAGGGCGTCGACATAGGACCGCTCGACGATGGCGCGCTCACCCACTAGGGGAGGCGCGCTCCAGCGAGGGGACCCACGGTGGCGCCTCACTCTTCTTCTCCGACGTATGTTGACTGAGGAGAAAGGGGAGGAGCTAGGGTTTTAGGGAAGAGCCCCACCGCAGCGCGTATGGGGAATAGGGCACCGTCGCCCAGACCGCTCGATGGCGGCGCCCTCAGCCTAGGGCGAGCGCACGCGCCGGCGAGGGGACCGGCGGCGGCGGCGCTCCGCTGCTCTCGCTTTTTTGCCGTGGCGTGGAGAGGAGAGAAAGGGAAGAACGAAATGAGTTTAAGGTTCGGGGGAGGAGGCAGGCGCTGGTGGAGTCGGGGTTTTGTTTCCTCGATCTACGCGCGTAGCCATCGAATGAGATCCGACGGTCACCGCTCCGTAGACCAAAAACGACCTAGGCGGGTAGCTACTTTGCCGGCCCAGGCCTAGGATGTGGCTTGGGCGCAGCGCACGAGGCTGGTCATGGTTCGATTTTGGCCGCTGGCCCTCGGTCAAATGAACAGTAAATTGTTTATTATTCTTAGAAGCAAATTTTGCAAATTTTGATTAGTTTTCATCTCTATTCAATTTTGAACCATCGGGATAAAATTGTTCAGAGAGTAGATGAGTATAGTGAAATGCTTCTGAAAAGTAGATAAATTATTTTTCATGTTTCCGCTATAAAGTTTAATGCTGATTATTTTTAATTAAATTCAAAGCAATGGAAGAATTTAATTTGAAGAGCAGTTACTTTAAGTAAATTATGATTATGTTTATCCTTTCATTAAATTGGAATCAACGGGAAAATTTAAGTTAGATGAGTAGTCCGATTTATTTATGTTAGATTATGGTATTATAATTTTCTGACCAACGTTGATGATAATAATATTATAATAAATTTAAGTTTGAAGTTTAAATCTCTGATAAATTTTATATCAACGTGGTCAATTTTTTAGAGAGTAGATAAGCACCAAGAAATGCTCCTGAACTAAAAGAATATATTTTATTATCAAGTTTTCGCTGCAATGATGCTGATTATCTTCTAATTAAATTCGAACCAATGGAAGAATTTAATTTTGAAGAGTACTTATATGTATTTTAAGTTGATTTATGAGTTTTATGCATTAATACTATTTTCTACCCAACGGTGATATAGAATTAATGCAAAAGCACCTTGTTTATTTAACCGATGAAATCACTCGACTGTATGCCAATGGGCTGCAATGCTAGGCTATGTGAATAAAAAAGGCTTGAGTCAAGCCAGTTCAGGACTATTTTTTGTTAGTTTATTAATTTTCTGATTAAATTGAAACCAACGAAAAGATTTAATTGAAAAATGAAGTATAAGTTAATTTTTTTATAAGAGTTGCAATAAGTAACATGCATGTCTAATTTGACCAACATTGGATTAAACATGCGTGTTTGTATATAGATTTATCCCGCATAGGGAGAAGTTTGGCATAGTACTTATGCTAGTCCATCATGCATGGCGGGAGAAATTTAGTGATGCCTCATATGTTTTTTGTATCCCATATAGCGAGAGAAGTTTGGGTAGCTCTTAAGCTATCCTAGTATTGACCATGGCACAATATAAATGCACCGTCATGGTCAATACTAACCAAAAGATAAAAAAAAATGCAAGCGTGATTTGTAAAAGTACAGTTAATAAAAGATATCGTTGAGTTCTTGAAATAAAATAAGAAAAGTGTACTCCTATACAAATCAAAAAATAACTTTGTTCACATGACATAATCATGTGAATGAAGTAAGTTATATGTGTCTCCTCCTTCACTGGTTTTCTTAATGGTTCTTGAAATTATGGCAGTAAATTTCATGCCATATTTTCGATGGGAAGAATATTAAGATCAATTAAGAAAAATACTCTTCATTAAGAGTAAGATAAAGATCAATTAAGAAAGATACTCTTCATTAAGAATGAGATAAAGATTAATTAAGATAAATGTGACCGTTGCAAGAGTACAACGGTCACAACAATGATATCCCTAAGCAGAAAAATAGCTAAATTCCTGGACCTTTTAAAGTTTCGACAGAGGAAGATAGCGTAGTCAGCCTCGAAGATATTAAAGCGGTGCTTAAAGTGCCATATAAGGTTTTAACAGATTGAACCCAAATAAAAAATAAGAAGATACACTATCTTTATAAAAGATGAGACGATCTTGAGAGAGCACGGTATGTAGAGACCTATGACTTGAAGAGAAGCGAGACTGCGTGCCTACTTCAGTGATTCAAAACAACGAATTTCTCAATACCTATTGATGTTGTATGACTTATACAACACCTATTGTTGGCTCTTTGAAGAAGATGAATAATATAAACAATGATCTTGTGATACAGGAGCCTATAGAATCAATTGCCTCTTGGCAATGAAGAGCAACAATAGCCCCACATGAAAGTGCCAGTAGCTGAGACTCCAGAAGGTCTCAAAGAATTAGTAAACCAGTTTTTTCTAATGACTATGAAGTCTATGTTAGTGAAGAAATTCAAATAGAGGGTGATCCCACCTCATTCGAAAAAATCATGAGAAGCGTTTACTCATCTAAATGGTAAGAAGCTATGAAAGTTAAAATAAATTCGATGAATACCAACATTATTTGGCACTTAGAAGAAATTCCTAATGGAGCTAAAATAGTAGACTATAAATGGGTCTACAAGACAAAATATGACCCCAAAAGGAATGTAGAAAGATATAAAGCATGACTTGTAGAAAAAGGCTTTACACAAAGAGGATGAATAGATTACGATGAAAGTTTTCTCTAGTCTCATGCAAGGATTTTTAGAATCAAAATGGTGTTCATTGCTCATTATGATTTAGAGCTACATCAGATGAATGTAAAGACGGCATTCCTCAACGGGGAATTGTATGAAAATATTTACATGACACAACCCAAAGGTTTTATCGTGGAAGAAAAAGAACGTATGGAATGCCGCCCTGTAGAAATCCATTTATGGGTTAAAACAAGTCGCTAGACAGTAGTATTTGAAGTTGATGAAACGATAAAAAAGTTTGTGTTTTAAAGAAATTGGAAGGACAATAGTGTTTATGCGAAGTTCAAGAATAAAAAATTCATTTTCCACATCCTGTGAATAGATGGCATTCTACTTACTAGTAATGATGTTAATCTGCCATTAGAGAAGTAGAAGTCTTTGTCTTCAAGTTTCAATGTGAATGATCTTGGTGAAGCCTCATTGGTTCTAAGAATTGAAATTCACTGAGATAGATGAAAAGGGGTATTAGGACTATCGCAAAGGCATACTTAGAAAAGATTCTAAAGAAATAAAGTATGCACGTGAGTAAACCTATCCTGCTCCTATAGTCAAGGGTAATAGATTTGGGAACTTTCAGTGTTCCAGGAACCGATATGAGATCGA